CTCTTCCAAGCTCTCTTTGCCATCAGTGACTGATGCAGGTGATTGCTGTGGTTTCCTTAGATTTTCTGCTCTTGTATTCTGAGGCACCACTTTATCTTATTTGTATCATTGGCTGTGTTTTAATTTTTTCTGCCCTTTAAACGTGGGTGTAGCATCTGTGGCCTGCCTTTTTTTGTTGTCTTCCTAATCTCACCTTCGAAGTGTGACTTCCATGAAGGTATTGCTCATATATATCAATTCTATTTTAATTCTGAGACACAGTGCCTCATCTTTGATGACCTCATGGAAATTTTCTACTCTATTTCCATTGCTACTTCAAACTTTGTTCTAATAAACTTACCTTCCTTAGGCCCAAGTTTAAGGTGGCTGCACCTCTTCTGTGTTGAGGACCCCTCACTTCCTCTATCTTTGAAGTGATCACACATTCTTGTAATTACCCCAATGTAATTATTAGTAGGATTTGGTTTTGCAAATTGATCCCAGTAGATCACAGAGTTACCTACTAATAAGTATGTACTGCAGATATGTACTAAGAATAAAGTTTGAGTCAACAACAGACTGCACACACAAGAGTGGCTCCTTAAGATTGTAACAGAGCTGAAAAAAATCCCTGTCACCTAATGAGGTTGTAGCAGTCCTAAGCAGTAGCAAAATGTGTAAATCACATTTGTTGTGATACATATATAAATATAGCAATGCAATTATGTGTAGTATGTAATACTTGATAATGATAATGAATGACTATGTCACTAGCTCATGTGCTTCTAAATCACTATTTCAGGTTGCTCACTTTTACTTACTGAAAAATGTTTGCTGCAAAACAGTATGCATATTATATGTACATATGCTTCTATGTATCTTGATTGCATGTTTTCTCTTGTGCTTGATTTTAAACTCATGTTATTTTGATCAGCATGGAGCAATAGACTATACACACATAAGCACATGCTACATGTACATAGACACAAATATGTATGTATATATGTATGTATACCGATATGCATATATTATATAGCCTAAATATTTAGTCAGCTATGCCAGCTAGGCTTGTATGAATATGCTCTGTAATGGCTATTCACCAATGGAATTGCCTAACTTCAGTTTTTAAGGACTCATTGTTAAGTGACACATGACTGTGTTTTAATTACCCATGTCTTTATAATTCCCACTGGATAACAAATTCTAACACTTCATAGGAACTTAGAAACTATTCGTTAAAGTTCAAGGTGAAATAACCTTATTGTAGTTAACTGTGATTAGAGTCTGTCTTCAATCCACAGGAGCCTTCTTATCTAGGAGCAGCTCTCTCTCTGGCCTGACAATGTCCTAAGCCGATGGAAATCTAATTACTGTTTCAGGAGTATATGGCTAAGTTTACATCTTTTAAATATGAAGGACACTGTTGTGGTGATGTTGAGGTAGGGTAGATTATAATGTCACACCACCCTCTTGTGGCTAGTGTGTAGAATTCATCTGGGGAGGGGGGTGGTGAGAAATACTTTTTAAAAGCCTCTAAGGCAATTCTAGTATTTGCATAACTTTGGGACAATGACAGGTTTGGGCCATTCCGTGTATATGTGTGTGTTCCAGCCTGGGGCTTGAACTCAGGGCCTGGTCACTGTCCCTGAGCTTTCTTGGCTCAAGGCTAGCAGTCCACCACTTGAGCCACAGTTATTTCTGGCTTTTTGGTGGACTACTGGAGATCAGAGTCTCAGGAACTTTCCTGTCAGAGTCTCATGGACTCAGCCTCCTGAATACCTAGGATTACAGATATGAGCTACCAGTATTTGGCAGTTTGAGCCATTCTTCAAGGGACCCAGGTGGCAGCTTCCAAATTAAGATTTTAGAAAGACCCACTTCTTGTTACATAGACATGTATCTAGTCTACTCAAAGCTGACCAAGGGACCTAGATAGCTCTCCATCAGGGGTCCTTACCTGAGTAATGTTTTGCCTACCAGAGAACATTTTACAATGTCTAGAGACACATTTTCCCCCAGTGTTGAGAACTGAACTCCAGGCCTTGCACAAGCCAGCCAAACACTCTCACTGAGCTATACCCCCAGCCCACAGATGCACTTTTCATTGTCATGATCAGTGATAGGGGTTGTGTTACTTAGCATCTGGGAAGTAAAGACCAAGGATTCTACTGAACATCCTTCAGTGAGCAGAGCAACACCTTAGGACAAAAATTTATCCAGCCGCAAATGCCAACTGTTTTCACTGTTGACATTGTTGAGAAGTCTGGCTCTAGATTTCTCCACAAGTGGAATTCGGGGTGGTTTAGAGAGGGGATTAATTGGGCAATGAAAGAATTAAATGCTCTTTAAACACAATTATATGCTTTGTAAGAGAGTGGTTCCTGCGCCTGGTGGAATGGGCATGAGTTAACTCACGTTCATCCCTTAAGAAAGACAAATCTCACAACTCATCCAATCAAAAGAGCCACCACTGCTGGGCAGGCTGAGATCTGAGGATAGTGTGCAGTTCAAAGCCAGCCCAGACAAGAAAGTCCATGAGATTCTTATTTCCAACTAACCACCAGAAAGCTGGAGGTGGTGTTGTAGCTCAAGTGGTAGAGCCTCACCTTGAGCTGAAGAGCTCAGGGACAGCACCCAGGCCCAGAGTTCAAGTCCAATGGCCAACAACAAAAAAAAGGAACCACCCTCAGTGCTCATAACTGAAGTGGTGGAAGCACAAGCCATGAAACAGCCATACTTCTGTCTTAATAAATCAGCTGGGAAATGTAAGACCAAAGTGCTATTTTCTTAGTGAAATGACTCTATTTTCTCTATTTCCGAAGGGTAGAACTGTAAGCCAGGCATGGTGGAACACATCTTTAATGTCAGTATTTGAGAGGCTGAAGGAGGAGGATCACAAATTCAAGGACAGCCTATGTCTACAAAATAAGAGCCTATCTTAAAAAAGAAAAAAGGTAGAAATAGAAGCTTCAGAAAACTTATTTTCAATCAACATGTGTGTGCTATAACCATCACATACTCCCTGTGTGACAAGTAGAGAAGCCTGGGACTCTGTGTAGTTTAGGTGTATTTCACAACATAAATTCCTTACGACTGAGAGTAGGCTGGTTCCTCCTCACTTCTCCAGAATTCAGATGGGCATGGTCAAAAGAAAACATGTGCATAGCAATGCGGGGAATTCTGACTCTAAAGACTCAACTTTGTTCTTTACCGTTAAAGCCTGAGGAAAAAGCAAGTTCTGACTCATGCAGGGAATTAGGGGGAAGACTGGTGAAGGGCAAGAACATCTCTGAAAGGGGTTCATTTCATTCTTACCTGTGACCCAGGCCTGGGGTTGTGGCATCGTGCAAGTTTTGTTGGATAAATGGCCCAAAGTATTCCTTTGAAGACACAACCACCCTTCCCCAGTAGGGTTTGGAGCCTAGGGGATTCAGGAATTATGAGGGAATAGCTTCTCCTGTTTGTTTCTGCACTTTCATCTGGTAGAATTCAGCCACAGAAAACAATGCAGTGGTGCTGGCTGCTGGATACTCACAACTAAAATCCTCGTCATTGAGGAGGGTGATATCTGGGGATCCAGGTTTGAAACCAGCCCAAGCAGGCAAATCTGAGAGACTCTTATCTTTAATAAACCATCAAAAAGCTAGAAGCAGTGGTGTGGCTCCAATGGCAGAGTACCAGCCATGAGTAAAAATGCCAAGAAAGAGTATGAAGGCCTGAGTTCAAGCCCAAGTACTGGTCCAAGAACAAAGCAAAACAAAAACAAAAAGAAGGAAAAAAAACCCCACTGTGTCAGAAGCTGAGTTTCTAGAGAAATCTAAATTGTAGTAAAGGAATGAGCACTTATAGCCCAGGGTTTAAAGATCCCTGTTTGTTGCCCCATAGTTTTAAGAATTAGACAGCTAAGCCAGTAATCCTAGCTACTCAGGAAGCTGAGATCCCAGGACCAGGGTTTAAGCCATCCCGGGTAGGAAAGTCCATGAGACTCTTATCTCCAATTACCATACTAGAAAATGCAAGTGGTGACCTGATTCAAAGAGTTAGAGCTCTAGCCTTGAGTGAAAAAGCTCATGGACAGTACCAATGCCATGAGTTCAAGATCTATGACCAATAAAAAAAAAAGATAGACAGCAAATGAACCAAAGCTTAAACAAGAATAATTTTGTACGCTTTTTCTTTTTTCCTGTCCAGCACCTGAATCCTAACCATCACTTTTTCTGCCAGAGGAACTCTCTGATTCATAAAAGGCAGAGACAATCAACTACTAAAAAAGTAAAAATATGCCAGGTAGCCCATTCTCAGCATTCCTTGGAGGTAGGACATAGATGTGTGACCTAGGATTGGCCACTCCCAAGTCTCAGATTTTGGAAGCCAGTATGAAAATACGAAGAAGGGGCCTTAGAGTACTTGTTTTGGTTGCAGACAATGCAAAAGTTAATGCTATTTGTAAGTCCAGCAGATTCAAGTGAGGCAGTGATGGAATGTGTGTCTAGAAATGGGGACGGTAGCTATGAAACTATGGTGCTTAGCATCTTCACTCTTGGATTTGCTTTGTAACTTTGGCTGTGGTCCTAATCACAGCCTACCCTTCCTTTATCTTGCTCCCTTTCAAAGATGTTTTTGTAGAAAACAGTTGAAAGAACTGATATCTTTTCAGTGGGTTCACTTTGTACATTCAAATATCCAAAGTCAGTGCTATTGGCTGCAAATATGACTCCTGCTACAAAAGTTTGTACTAGCATGAGATGCAGAACCTAAATGTGTGAACTGGCTAAACAGAGAGAAGATACAAGGTGACAGGACTATAGATTTTGAGCTGGAGAATTGGTGTTCCTTGTTAGGTAATGGTGCAATAGTTATTTCCTAAAGTATTCACAGAAGTTATATAAGAACAAGGAAAAAGAAGAACATAAATGGAAAGATAGCCTTTCTAAAAGGAAAGGGTAGAAAATAACCAGAACTTTATTAAAAGAGATTCTAACTGCAGTTTGTAATCTAAATGATTAAATCATTCGAAACTGTTGGGTCAAAATAATTTAATTTTTTACATGGAGATAAATTCCATACAGAGAAGTGTGATTTGAAGTAAGAAGTGCCTTGGCCTGAAGCTCCACAGAAGATCTGGGATATGAAGTAGGATCAGAACCAGGATGGAGTTTTATCTAAGACGCTAGGTTTGTCAGCCAGGGAATCCACAGAGAACTAACATTCAGCACATACTTTGAGAACTGAAAATTCTCTCTGGGACAAAGTCCTTTGAGGCTCCCCAAATCTCTATTTTAATCTCTATTTTCAAGCTTCCATTCTACTGTTTGAAGCTTACAAACCCCAAAGTCATTTTCAGTTTAGTATAAGTTTTACAGATAAAATACTGATTATCTTAGCTTCTTTTATAGAATAACATCAGTGTTTTACATATAATAAAGAATTCACCCTTCACCCTTGTCCAGAGAGAGAAACTGAGGCACAGGGCCTTGATCAGGTCCACAGGTCATCAGGCTCAGCTGTCTGAACAAAGCGCAGACAGTCAAAATGTAAACTTTTTCAGACTTGGTGACCAGTGGCCATATGTCTGAGATAGGCAAGAGATGTCTTGACTTTCTGTCTTTGGCCTTTATTATCCCTTCTAGCCAAGAGTGAGGTGTTCTGAAGTCTGGACCCCCAGTATTTATTGCATCTGAGATACTGCAAAGATGGATCACTGTATCAAGCAAGGAGCTCTCTGTTCTGTGTCTGTGCTGGCTGAAGGACAGATAGAAGCTTTGGGAAGCCTTGCTTTCTTGCTCATTTCACAGGTGTATGTGGAGATGCATCACCAAGGAGTTGATCTGAGAAGCATACAGATGTGCAGAGTGTCTGCCTTGAGAACCTGTGAATCTGGGCCACGTTCAGTACTAATTTTGGTTCTTCCATCTTTCTTCAGAAAGTCTCTTGGCTATGTCTCTGGTGTCAGCTTTCTGGAAGTGTCACACTGGCATAGACTGTGATGAGATTGGGTTCCTGTGGGCAAAGCAGAAGGAACCTGTGAATAGAGGGACAATGTGCTAGCCTTACAGGCTTTGAATGTAGTAACATTACGCAGGAAAGGAAAGTGTCTCTAAGATCATGTAGCAGAGCTACTTGCTCAGAGTCTATCATAGATGGGGAATTGCCAGTGGCAGCTCTCAGGTCTCCTGTAAGTAGAGCTACAGCTTCCTTCCAGGCATGAACATGCCATTGGGGAACTGGGATACCCCCTACCTTCCTCCCTGTCTTCTCTCCCTCTCCCCCCCCTCTCTTTCTCTCTCTCTCTCTTTTGGTCGGTCATGGGGCTTGAACTCTGGGCTTGGGTGCTGTCTCTGCGCTCTTCAGCTCAAGGCGAGCGCTCTACCGCTTGAGCCATAGCGCCACTTCTGGTCCAGTTTTCTAGTGGTTAATTGGAGATAAGAGTCTCATGGACTTTCCTGCCTGGGCTGGCTTTGAACCGCGATCCTCAGATCTCAGCCTCCTGAGTAGCTAAGATTAGAGGCGTGAGCCACCAGCGCCCAGCTTCTTCCTTTCTCTTGTAATAAAGGTATGGAGAGTTTGGAGGAGCCATAAACATTTAAGATTATTCCACTTTAAAAAGGGCCAGCAAGACCCAAAGGAAAAAGTAGTACAAGAGGGAAAGAAGTGGGCAGAGAGGGGAGAAGAGGATTGTGGGTGTAGGAGAAAGTCTAGAGCTCCTTGCTACAATCTGAAATTTTCAAAGAAAGGTTAGACAAATGGGATTGTATTAAACAGCAGAGCTTCTGCATGGCAAAAGACATAGCTAGCAAGATCAATGGAAAGCCCACAGACTGGGAGAAGATCTTCACTAGCCAGACAACAGACAAGGGCCTCATATCTAATACATACTTAGGACTCAAAAATTAACTCTTTCAAAAACAAATTCTCAAAGAAACAACCATCCCATTAATAAGGCTAAAGACTTAAAGAGGGACTTCTCTGAAGAAAGTAAGAATGGCCAATAGACACATTAAGAAATGCTCAATATCTTTGGCCATAAAAGAAATGGCAATTAAAACAACATTGAGATTCCACCTCATCCCAATAAGAATGGCTATAATCAAGAAATCTAATAACAACAGATGCTGGCAGGGATGTGGCCAAAAGGGAATGCTACTACACTGTTGATGGGAGTGTAAACTTGTTCAATCACCCTGGAAAGCAGTCAAAAGACTGAACATAGAGCTCCGCTATGATCCAGCAATCCCATTTCTGGGCATTTACCCAAATGACCACAAACAAGGCCATACTAAAGCTACCAGCACAACTATGTTTATCACAGCATTATTTAACATAGCTAAGATATGGAACCAATCCAGATGCTTCCATCAGAAAGAGTGACACCACCCCATTTGTAAGGATATAGAAAGACTTGGAAAAAAATCATATTAAGTGAAGTAAGCCGGACCCAAAGAAACATAGGTCCCATGGTTTCCCTCATTTGTAATAATTAGTTTATGTCTAGGATAATACTATTAGATGAGCAGACCAGCTCAATAGCTATGTTCATATGACCATATAAGATGATGCTAAGAGAAACAAACTCCAAGACATGCGCATAAGAGATTTTTCTTGGTTGTTGTTGGTTTTTAATGTACTACGTGATTTCTTTTTTCTTTTGTGTTCCCCTCCCATGGTATATTCCCTGTTGTCACTGTATTTGTTTTTGGTACCCTGGGTATTGTTATCTGAATTAGGGAAGGGAAAGGGAACAACAAAACGGTGAGACAAAGGATAAAGGTAGAACCAATGCAACAGCGATACTCACAAAACAATATGTTGGAAATGATCTGTACAATTGGAGGAGAGGGGGTTAGGGGAGGGAAATAAGGGAGGGGGTAACTAGTTTGACCTGAAATGTTCTCACTACTTTACTTATGTAACTGTAACCCCCCTGTACATCACCTTGACAATAAAATTTAAAAAAAGACTTCCCATAGATCAAGGAAAAGGAAGAGAATGGGAAAGTAAAGTGGATTTGTTGCAGATGTGAAATGTCCAGTTTTCCTTTCCTAAACTTCATTTAAAACCTCAACATTATTTTTTCAGGCTTTTGAAGTCAGATTTGTATTTTTGTTCTTTGTTAAATATAACAAGGTCCCGAGAAACTAGATCTCAAGATGAAGGTCTATTTGAAATAGGGCACTGGCCCAGGCTTATTTGAAAGTGTGCCTGAGCAAGAGGAGCCCTGAAGGAGAGGGATAGATGCAGCATTTCAATGACCTGTAAACCTCTGTTGTGCCTCTGTAAACCTGACCTCTCTTCTAGAATGCTTGGTAACATGACCAAATGGAGCCAAGATTTCAGTTCAAAATATGTTGTTACTGATCATTTAGTAAAGATTCCTATCAGAAGAAAGCCAGCGGCTAGTGGTTCAACTCTGTACTTGGGATGCTGAGAATGACAGTATCACAATTTGAGGCCAGCATAAGTAGAAAAGTCCCTGAGACGCCATCTCCACAGAAGGGAGACTGGATGTAGTGGCACATGCCTGTGATCCCAGTGATGATAGGCCTAAGGTAGGTTGATTCTGGCTCAAGCACACGCCTAAATAGGAATAAGATTCTATCCTAAAAATAACCCCTGAGAAACAGGGCTGGTGGTATGGCTCACTGATAGCACTCAATCACGGGAAGCTTGAGATACCCCTCTTGAGTTCAAGCCCTAGTTCCTCCTGGGTCCCCCCCTCTCCCCCCCTAACCTACCACCAATCTGGCTCTAGGCAAGCCTCCCATTCTTGTTTGTATATCGTCTTCTCTTCTTGTCTTGGCATGAATACAGAAGCTCTCCCCCACCCTAAATCTTCTGATTAAATGGAGGGTATAAACCTCTAGAAGCTGGGGGCTGGTGGCTCATACCTGTAATCCTAGCTACTCAGAAGGCTGAGATCTGAGGATCATGGTTTGAAGATAGCCCAAGTAGGCAAGCTCCCATGAGACTCTTATCTCCAATTAACCACTCAAAAACTGGAAGTGGAGCTGTGGCTCAAAGTGGTAGAGTGCTAACTTTGAGCAAGAGAGCTCAAGGACAACTCCCAGACCTCATGACTGACAAAAAAATTCTAGACATGAGAAGTGTTAAGTAATTATAGAACAATTCTAAAACCAAATTTAATTTTTCGATTAACAGGTAATAATTGTCCTTATTAGTGGGGTACAGCGTGATGCTCCAACCCAAAGCATGAGCCTTTTTACAAAGCTCCCTAGTGACTCTGGTCAGCAGGTGGAGTTGATAACACCGCATTTGAGCGCAATCCGCAAACTTGAGTGTGCAGCAGCATCACCTGGCAGATGCTGTGCTGGAGTATGCAGATCCCTGAGCACTCTGCATATATGTTTTGGTTTAGCAGAGTCCTAGGTGGGAGGCCCCAGGAAATTAGATTTCTAATAATTATTCTAGTTGATTCTGATGTCTTTAGACAGTTCTCAGCGAAACACAGACAAAAGGGCATAAACCACAGCTTATTCTGAGCGGGCATGTGGGTTTTATGAAGTCCCAAACCAAACCTGTGCTTTGGCAGCTACTCCTTGGTGCCTGCTTGCTATGGACTACCTTTCAAGTCCAGCGCTCATCAGTCCGTTTCATGTCGTCCCTACCAAAAATGTAACAAAATAAAAAATCTTCCTCCACCTATCCATTGTGACATGTGGAGATACAGAAGGATGCCTCACCTGGACAGACTCAGGGACAGGCTCTGTGGCAGCCATATAGATTGTTGTGCAGGGATCCTGATGTGGAAGAGATGCAGATGTTGCCTGTAAAAGATGCAAGGAAAATAAAGCTAATTAGCTGAGCAAAAAAGCTAGTTCCTTGAGTCATTTGTTCCAACCTTCTTTCCACAGAATTTTCTCATCACTTCCTTAGAAAGCAGCACTCCAGGGTTTTGCAGTTCTGGCTATTCTTCAACCTAACATATCTTCTTACTTGCCTTACAATCACCATAAGGCCAAATGTTATAACTCACATTTTACAGATGAAGAAACTAAAGCTCAAAAAGCTGAAGTACTTTCACACACAAGAAACTGTAGGAGCAATTGTTTCTACATGTTGTGGCCCCTTTGTGCAGAAACTAAGTCAGTAACTAGGGCAGTAACCTAACCTAAGTAACCTAGCAGACAGTAAACATTTGAATAATTTTCCAATCTACAATATCCTTTATTATATTATTACATATCATATATTATTATATACCTATTATTAGGAGGAGCAAAGGAATGCTAATTTTTAAATAATTGTTGTAGTCTCTCTTCTAATGTAAGCATTTAACTATAAACAAAATAAATTATAAGGATATGGCTATGTTTATACTGATATATAAAACAATAATAATTCTGTTTTATATATTTATACATAAATTAAAATAATAACATCATAACATACATATATGAAGGTGAGTTACACTGCAATGTAAGTGGAATATGTAGAATAAAGGGAATACAGTATAGTGGAATATACAGTACTAAAGGAGAAAATACTAATATGTGAGGAATGCATTTTATAATTTCTAGGATAGCCAGTCAAGAACAGGAGAGAGTTCTTAAATTGCTAATATAATAGAACGTAAGATGGAATAATAAATATATAGTTTAAAAAATTCTTGCTGGGCACTAGTGGCTCATTCCTGTTACTCCTAGCTATACAAGAGGCTGAGACCTGAGGAATTACAGTTCAAAGCCAGCCTATGCAAAAAAGTCCCCATGAGACTCTTATCTCCAATTGACCACACAAAAACTGGAAGTGGAGCTGTGGCTCCAAGTGGTAAAGTATTAGCCTTGAGCAAAATAGCTCATGGACAGTGCTCAGGCAATTAAGTTCAAGCCCTACGACCACCACTACCATCACCACCAACAAATCTCCACCAAAGAAATGCCAGTTTGAAGTCCTTTAGCAATAAGCTCTTCCAAATTTGTAAGAAGAGAAATAATATTGATCACTTCTATCCAACATTTCCAGAGAATTATAGAAAGAAAATAGATGTGGTAGGGCTGGGAAGGTGGCTCAGTGGTAGAGCACTTCCCTTGCATGCTCGAGGCCCTGGGTTCAATTCCTCAGCACCACATAAGGAAAAAGCCGGAAGTGGTGCTGTGGCTCGAGTGGTAGAGTGCTAGCCTTGAGCTGAAGAGCTGAGGGACAGCGCCCAGGCCCAGAGTTCAGGCCCACGACCGGACCCCCCCCCCCAAAAAAAAGAAAGAAAGAAAAGAAAATAGATGTGGTAATGGGTCAAATCGTGGTGACCAAAAGATATATCCACCTAGTCTCAAAATGTGTCTTCATTTGGAGTGAAAGTCTTTGCAAATGTAATTATGGCAAGCGCTTCACAATGAGGTCACCCTGTCCTTCTTCTTAGAGATGGATAAAGGAGAAGATACAGAGGCATTGACAGGGAAGTTGTATAGAAACCAAGGTAGATATTACAGCATGTGGTCATAAACCAAGAGATGCCAAAAATGGCTGCCAAGCAGCCATGAGCTGCTGAAAGAGGCAAAGAGAGACTGGGGACATGCTAACAAGTGCAAGGACCTGAGTTCAAATTCCAATACTGAGAAATAAAATAAAATCAAAAGGTAAAGATCACTTTGATGTTGCACTTCTGGCCTGCAGAATGGGTAGAGAACAAATTTCTGTTGTTTTAAGCCATCAAGTTTATAGTGTTTGTGATGGCATTCCTAGAATATAACAAACACCCCACCGTATGAGTTTAGCATAATCTTGATAACAAAACCTCACAGACTCTGGAATGCTGGTGGCCTACCTGTGTATCCCAGCTACTCAGGAGACTGAGATATGAGGATCTTGGTTTGAAGCCAGCCTGGACAGGAAAGTCCATGAGACTCTTATGTCCAATTAACCAACAAAAAACCAGAAATGGGGCTCTGGTTCAAATGCTTGAACTCTAATCTTAAGGATAAAAGCTAAGGGACCTGGCCCAGGCCCTGAATTCAATAGTACCATAAAAATATAATAAATTATGTAATAACAAATATCATATTTTAAAGGACCAGAGAAAATTGATTTTATTCTAGGAATAGCAAGTAGGTCTGACTTTGCAAATCAATATAGTTTCTCTATAGCAGCCAACAGATGAGAAACAGCAGCCAGAAGATGGTCTTGACAATCGCAGAGAGTGTTAATAAACTTCAATGCCAATGCATGATAAAATGTCTAACAAACCAGGAATAGAAGATGATGTGTTTTTCTTCCTGCAGTATTAGAATTAATCTCCGGGGTCTCCTTAGCTTGCTATCTGTGTTAGAAGAATGAACCAATGAGCTACATTCCTAGCCCCTGACAATATAGTATTATTATTATTTTCTGATTTTTATTTAATTAATTTTTGGTTCTCATTTTGCAAGGAATGTTATAGAATAAGAAAATATTGTATAGGCAAACAGTGACATAATCTTTGTTGTATAGGCAAACAGAGACATAATCTTTGTTGCTATTTAAATGTGTAATTATCACTGGGAAGTAGCAGTCCTGCATTTGTGTTTGTCATTTATGTTGGTTGCTATTGACTTCCACAAGAGTGCACAGTGGTCTACAATAATCTCACAGTCTCAGATACTTGAAAATATTTTTAATGTAGCAAAAATGTCACTACAAAAGAAGCTTCAGTAAAAACATCACATGCAATGGTAAGATATGAAAAGTTTTCCTTCTGTTTGGAACTTTACAAGGATGTCATTATTAGCTCTAACATTCCCATCATATATTTTGGTTAGGGTTTTTTGGAACATGGTCTCACTACCAGGATAGGAGTTAGCAGAAACGAGAACTTGGTCTAAAAATCAATCTTGGAAATGAATTTTTTGTCATCTGAAGCATTTATCCAAAGTACTAATCAAAGCTGTCACCACCTCCATATCCTGTTCTCAAGAACATGCCTCTCTCCATATCTCAAATGGGCAGATTGTGACCTGGAAATCACCAAAAAACTTCATGTCCAACAGACCACAAGGTCTCCATATCTAGCCTCAATGCTTTCAGCCTGCTTTCCCTCACCCCATTTCTTATTTCTAGATTCTCTGCTCCTCAGAGCCATTATCTTTCAAGTTTCTCTCTTTTGGTTTTTGCTTGGTATTGGTGTTGAAGTTTTAAATTCAGGACTGTATGCTTGCTACTATTTGAGGTACATCCTTAGCTTTTTTTTTTTTTAATTTAGATAGGTCCTCGTGCTTTTTGCGTAGGCTTGGCCTCAGGCTGCAATCCTGTATAGGTGAGATTACAGTTATGAACCACTATATATAACTTGTTTATTGAGATGAAGGTCTCTAGTTTCTTTCTTTTTTGGCGGGGGGTGGAGGAGATGGGAGCAACTAGGATGATCAGTCACTACCTCCTAAGTAGCTGGGGTTATAGGCATGAACCTGGCCTCCATCACTCTCTTCCTAGTCTAAGGGTCATGCTACCACAGCTTTGCTTTCTTCCATCTCCAGTGTACATGCATCTTCCATCTCAATCATCCTCTAGCCAGAATTCAAGATCCTCCTTCCTTTGTCTTCTTTGCACTTTGCACATAACACACAACAGCTTTTCTGCATCTTTCCCCTCTCCTCAAATTCCCTAGAGAAGGGAATTAAATAACATGGGACCTTAAACTCCTAGAATGCCAGAGGTGGAAAGCATCAGATGTCATGTGTTTATAGCTTCCTCTTTATTCTTTTTTTTATTGAAAAAATAGTTGTCCAGAAGATTACCCAAATATTTCCCATTATTTCAAATAATCAACAGTCCCCCGTGACACTGGTTTTGTGACCTTTAGGAGAGTTCTTGTTCTTGATTCCTGCTTCCCTAATCTCATCTGCTCTAGAGCCCATGTAGAACCATGAATGTCAGACATGCAAGGAACATGGAATCCTGTGGAAACACGGTACATCTGTCCAAAAGAAAGCATAGAACTTACACCTGGTTGCTGGACTTGGGCATAGATAGTAAGAGTTTCTTCCTTAATTGGTGATTGATAATGATTCGCTTTACCTGGGGGAAAGAAACCATAGTGGTTACCTCCTTCTGATCTCCCACATAATCCCCCTTCTCAGATCTGTCAAGTCTTCATCCCTCCATTGCATGCCTAACCTTCCTCAAGACCACCACAGGAGCAAAGCACTGAGTCCCAAGCCCCCTGCACATTGAGGTTAATTTTATTTGCTCTCTCCAGGCCTATCACCCTACCTGTCAAATGGAACTGAAATACCCTCTCACAGGGCATTGTGCTAATTATGAGATGTTACTTTTAAGCTGTTTAAGACCACACTTAGCACATTATAAATGCCCAGTATGTGTTGGGTCCTATTCTCATTGGTGTGCTACTTATTTTAATCGATTGTTTTATGTGCATATTGGGTCTTGTAGGAGGATTCTGGGTTCTTGGAGGCCAGGGATAGATCATTTGTATTTTGTAGCTGGAAGCAGGTTGCTTCCTTCAGAGAGCCCATCTCTTGATTTCTCTCTCTCTCTCTCTCTCTCTCTCTGGGTAGGAGGAATGATCCACATGTGATCTTAGGATTGTCGGTGATGTATTTGGGACTAGTTAGAAAATAAAAGTGTAATCTATTTTATTGCTCACCATCTAAAATTTTGTTTAGGGCCTAAGGTCTTTGTAAATGCATAAGTTGCAAAACGTTTTAATTCTTAGCCAATTTTTAAAGTTTTCTTTTTTTAATCTCAAGAGTAATTCATTCCCATTGCAAAACTAAAAATGTACAAAAAGCATAAGATAAAATGTATCCAGCTCAATTTCACTCTCAGAAGTAACCACTCTGAAACATGTTTTTTTAGACCAGCTCTGTGCAATACAGTATTTCTGAAATAATGGAAGGTTCCATATCTAAATACTCTTAACATAGTCACGAGCCACAGATAGGGGACAACACAACACTGACACTATGACTGATGCAACATTATTTAATGTGTTAAGTCAATAGTTACCCCTATCTGGCTCTAGTTGCTATACTTACATAGATTTTTTTTTGTTAACAAAAATGTATTTTATATACATTCCCCTATAATTTAATCTTTTCATCTAAAGGTGTTCAAGGAATTTTTCATGTTTATGCAGTAGATATATTTGATCTTTCTCACAATATTTGATCTTTCTCACATTGCATGGCATTCTTTTCAAACATTATGCAACAGGGAAAATAAACAGTCAGAAGCATGGAGGACTTCCAGGGACTTATTGCAAAGTCTAGGCAGAGGCAATGGAAATTACAGGCTTTAAGGTAAATGTATTTTAACACAATTAAATTCTACTTATAAAGATGGGAGCATATCTTTGAAGAAATAACACTGAAAAGAAATATACTTATACTTGGAAAGGAAAGGCCTAGTGTGTGGGTAGCAAGCATGGTGGAATGTGTTGTATGAGGGTATGAATCTTAGGGAGGAGATGATGAACAGCCACTGGAGTAATTAAAGAATTCTAAAGATGTGTGATTTCTCTGAGTGGGTATGGACATGACATGCTGTATGCGTGTGTAAGTGCACGTGCATATGTGTGTGTGTGTGTGTGTGCATGCGTGTGTGTGTGTGTGTGTGTGTATGTGTGTGTACATAGACACAAAAGTGGTTGGAGATAGAGGGCTGCATGGTAGTTCTGTGAAATATACCCTTTCAGTTCCAGTTCATGAGTGTTTGCAACAGTTAGACATGCCTGCCCAGCACTCTGCTAGGCACTATTGGGGTATGAATAACAGACTCCAGTCTCGAAGGACCTTGATTTGATCTTGCAGGTCAGCTCAAGATGCAATTTAAATTGGGTGTACAGTCCTAAATGGTCAGTGAGATTAAATAGTAAGGCTGGCTCAGCAAGACCACTCCATCAAGATAATCTTGTCTATTTTCTTTAGTGCACGAACAGGTTTTTGGAGGCCAACTGAACCCTCTCAAAGTCAGCAAGCTCGTAGGATCTCATGAAGAAAGAAAACCTTGGTCTTAATATTAGGGTATCTTATTTTAGCCATCATTAGCTACTAGGTGCTAGGCAAATTAGATCATCTCAGTGGATTGGATAGCACTTAAATATAGATGTATGCCCCAGGTTTGCGGTAATAAATGCTGATGGCAGATGAGGATGGAGGGAAGTGTGATAGGGATGAGCCTTGTACTAAGCAGAATGTAGCAGAGGAAAGAACAAGGTTAGAATCCCAGCACTGTGGCCAATGAGGCTAATGTGGTGCAGGGTTTTCTCACCTTTAGTATCTCACTGTTTTCTTATAATAGAAGCTCAGTGTGGGAGCCCCACACCCATACCTGGTAGACTGCCTCTCACCACTTTAGCTCAACAGACTTTCTATCTGAATCACCTACCCCTCCCAACTCCTGCTCGGTGAACTCTTAGATGGAAAGAATGAGATAAGAGTCGGCATCTATGCTGTGATGTAAATGTTCTTATATAAGTAAAACCAACATCAGAATGCTGAGGTAAGGTCTTTTCTAAGAAGATTGTATGTTGATAACATTGGTCTACTTGAGAATAAGATCAGCCCCAGGCTTTGTGCTAGGTATAGCAAGTTTTATCCTTATCCCGAGGAGGTCAACCAGAGCCACTGTCCTGGTCTTAATATCCAGAATGTCCAGGACATTCTGACTCCATGGTGGGTAGATTATAGTTAACGTGGCTGAGAGGGTTCACTGCCCTGAGATATTGAATCATAGGACAATTGGAAGGAGAGGTGAGGAGATACTTCCTTTTACCACTTAAACTACAGGGGAATCACCAAGCCTTACTGGTTTCCATTTATCCTGGGAGACTTTTTGTAGAAGATGCAAGAATTCTCTGAAGTCTCCTTCCTAAGCATCCTGTATAGCACTACTGCAGTGCTGAGTTGACATATTCTGCATAATGTGTCCTACGTTAGACACTTGTGGCTCTTTTCTCTTTTCCCTTATCCCGGCATAAGGGAGGAAGATAGGTTGCATTACATTTAGTTGGGCAAGGAGTCAGGATAGAGTTATTTAGTATTTTTCAAAGGTGGCCCCAAGCAGAAAGGTAAAATGGTGAGACCAAGCCTGAACTTGCGGATGAACTCCTTTGCTTTGCCACAGGGAATCTAGTAAAAAGTTGTTATTGTCAGATACCTACCTCTTCTCCTTAAAAGTTGGATAACCATGATAAGAATTGTGATGAAACCCACAAAGCCCCCTAAGAACAGTCCAGCAGACAGTGTCCATTGTCTTGATTCTGAAAAGAAAGTCAAAGGTCAATCTCAGCAGTACTGGGAGTTTAAAAACAGTCTACCCAGAAGCACTTCTGCTTCTCCACCATCTTCCCAGGGAAATACTCATCTGTGCCATTTTGGAGATCAGATTTAGACCACTGAACATTTCTATCTTTTGTTTTCCAATCCTAACGTGGCTCACTGTGTTTGGTGTTCATACTTCTAACTTCCATAAAGGTTTCTTTTCTATTAAAAATGCTTTATTATCACTTCAGCTAATACATAAAAATACCTAAAATTAAATATAATTTTTTCTCTTCTAAATCCAATCTCTCTGGCTTCTTCTATTTTTAACTTCTAAGCATGTCCTCAATCTATTTTGAATAAAATGAACATGGGGTTTCCACATGCTGTCCTGATATCTCCACGCCATTCTCATGAGACACTGGGAGGAAGCATTCTGCTTTTCTTTTTCAAAATAAGCATAATAGTGCTATTATCATCCTTCCATGTAAATAATTATGTTGAATCTACCAGACCTGAACGGAAACAGAAGCATGTAGTTCCTCTAAATCAGTGTCCTATTTAAAACTACCCAAGCTCAAAATCAGAAAACCAACATATGTAACTTGCTCTCCTTTAGCTCATTTACCAAATCTTTTTAAACAAAGACAACACTGTAAGAAGTAGTGAATGAGCCCTGCTTATACAATAAACAAGACATATAACTCAATAAGATAGAGACAGTTAATTACTGAGTGCTTAAAATAGGCCAGACATTTTGGTAGTGCATCAACACAGGGCACATAAAGTATTGATATACTAGTACATAGTACATCAGTGTACTTAATCCTCACAACCTATGAGACAGATACTCCCATTCTCCTGTTTTATAGGTAAGGAAGTAAGGTTGGAGAACTGTAAGAACTAGAGCTTGAGCTGAGGAGAAACATGGCAGAATGCTAAGAAAAATCCTGAAGCACCAAGGTTCTAACAGTAGTAATCTTCTAAGTAGTGAAGCATCAGATATTAACTTTAATGTGTTAGTCTAGCTTGTGAGGATGTTTTTTGGAGGAAAGCTTGCTTGTGGTTATACTGTGAGGGATTTGTTGGGGAAGAAATTGAAAATAAGGAATAAGTAGGAACAAAGGAACAGAGTAATTACAGGCACAATACAAATATTCATAGAAGTAACTAAACTATGGAGTGGAAACTCATTGAATTGGTAAAAGGCCTCCCATTAAGGTCTAAGAGGGCCTCCAGCCTAATGGCTACCCAGAAGTTTGCTTCTGAGTTTGAGAAGATTCTTTTTCTTTCTAGACTTTTCATGCATTAAGTCATTGTAAGGAACTCACTGAGCTGACTTTGACCAGTGATTCTCTTCCATAAATTAAGCATGTTTTAACACTGCCAAGTACAATCTTTAACAGTCATATAATCTTGATCAAAAAAGCCAAGGGAGATGGATGTGGTAGTTTATGCTTATAATTCCAGCACCTAGGAGGAGAAGCAGAAGCCTGAGAATTCAAGTTCAACCTAAACAGTTCCAAAAGCAAACAGAGATAAGCTGAGGGTTATAAGGTGGCCTCTGAGTTAGGATGGAGCATGACAGTATTCTGAATTGCTGCCACAGCTGGAGTGCCTGTGAGCTGCTCATTTGGAATGACTTATGGTGGCTAGAGAGGATCCTCTGTATACACAGGGATATGTGTGTGACCAAAAGAGAGAGAAAGGGAGACAGAATCTCATGGGTTCACAGTTTATCAACTGCCACAGAGCCATAAAGAAGCCTTCCAATGCTAAGCTGAGGAGCAGAACTAGCAGCCTCAGCTTATTTCATCAGCCATTGAACTGATCCAACAAAAGGACTATTTTGAAATCATTTCCTCTTTTTTTATTGTATTTATTTTGGGTGCTTCTTTTTCGTAAAGGGGTATGGTAGGGGATTGAACTCAAGTGCTCTACCACTTGAGCTATACACCTCTAATCCTTAATTTAGGAACATCTAAAATAGCAGTTAATTTGAGAGCAAACATCTCAACCATTGCCATGAATTTTAAAAGGTATTTTCCCCAAATTTCATTTGTGATTAAAAAATAATAAAAACAGAAAAACAAGGTGGCTGTTCTAAAACTGGAAAGTAATACATGGCAAGCCTGTAGCAGAAAAAATTCATCTTCTACCCTGGTACTATGACATAAACAACCAGCTTCTGTCAGTTCATTCAGGTCTGAGAGACAGACAGCCCAGCTGAAGAATATCTAAGCAACTCTTAACTTTTCTCCAGATCTTTGGATATCAATGTAGATCTATTGGGGAATTTAAGTTATAGAACCATAGGCTTATAAAATCCTTAAAGGACTTATAGTACTTACTCAATTTTATATGGAGGAAACTGAAGCTGGGATGCATATACCTAAAGTTCTAGGAAGTGGCAGTGGCAAAGATCTTTGTTGTTTGTATTTTATCTCTGGAGATAAGGACCACATTGGGTCCACATTAGGGGAAGTGGCAGGCTCCTGGAGTCAAAGTCACTTGAGGTAGTTAATACATCCCTACCATCCTCCATTCAAAGGTGCTCCATCCAGTACTCTCCTTCCCAATGCATTCAGCTATCCACCATGCCTCCAACTTTGACGCTCAGACTGCTCTTCCTTCCTAGCTCTTACTTCTCCTAAAGCAACTGTGATTGATGCAGTTTATCTTAGAACCTGTGTTTTTAAGCATTGCCTTTGCCAATTTTCTTTTGTTAGTACTAGGGTTTGAACTAAAGAATCTTGGACTTGTGACGTAAACAACTCTGCTGCTAGCTTGTATCTCCAGCCCCTTTTAATGCATTTATTTCTTGAGATAGGATGCCCAGGAGGAATCCTCATCCACCTATTTTAGGTTTGCCATTATAGCTGTGATCATAGGTACTTGCAACTATGCACAGTTTCTTCCATTGAGATAGAGTCTCCAGTCTTGTGGACTTTTCTGCCCAGGATTAGTGTGCGACCACTATCCTTCCAATCTTAGACTGTTATGAAGCTAGGCTAACAGATGTGCACAACCACACCCAGTTATGTGTTGGGGGTGTCTAGTAAACTTCTCTGCCTAGGCTGGCATTGAACAATGATCTTCCTGTTCTCAGCCTTCCATGGAACTAAACTTACAGGTGTGAGCCACCAATGCCCAGATGCCATGGAGACCATGTTAACTGCTGGTATTTGGAATAAAGACAGTAAAATACTGAGTATATCATTTAATTGTTATGTGCCTCAGAGAACTATCATACCTTCTGAAGCCCGTTTTCTCATCTGTAAAATGAGCATAACAATATTCCATTCACAGACTTGCTCTGATGAACCAAGGCAAACAAAAAAGTGTTCACAACAATATCTAGAATTATGATGTGGTAAATAAATGTCATCTTCCTCAATTGCTCCAAACAGTTGCTAAGTTCTTGAAGATCCCAAACCATCTCTTACCCAGTACTCTTTTGTAGCATTCTCAGTACTTGGTAAATTCTTGTTAGTTGATTGGAAGCACCAAAATACAAAAGGTGTTTCTTCACTGATGTCTAGATGTGCGATAGTAATATCTTATCCAATTCTTTGCTTATAACTTAGTCTTCCTCTCTGTATATCAGATCCAAGTATTTCTATACTGTTCATCCATTTGGTACTATTTTCTAATTTGAGTATTTAAATGGGAGTTAAATGTTAGGGATTTAGTGTCCTCAGGCATTCAGATACACGTGAGCAAGCTGGTGCTTTTCTAGTTTGTTAGAAGTCAAGGCTCTCATGAATTCTGTAACTTCTGGAAATAGTGCCTTCAGGGTCCTCTAAGTCTTTGCATCTTCATTACCATATCTCTTCTCTACACTGCCATGGGTACAAGGTTCCATCTCCTCATTGGTTTCCATAACAAACAAAAATCCTCTGCTCAGGATTTGTGGGTTTTGATCTTCTACTGAAGATCTTAAGGGTGGCAAGGGGTCAACTCGTGAGCCAGGCAGCCTTTACCATCTGATAAGCTCTCCCCGCTTTGTATTTCTTTTCTTACTCTGTTTTATCTTGTCTTCTTGGGTTTCTTTGTTTTTTATTTTGAGACAAGGCCTCCCTCTGTTGCTCAGATTGGCCTGGTACTCACTATGTGGTTCAGGATAGTCTTGAACTTGGGATCCTCCTGTGTCAAGCTCCCAATTGTAGAGATTCTAAGAATGTACCACCTTGCTTGGCTTCTCTTCTTATTTCTGTATCAGAAACATCTCCTCCTTTCTCATACAGAGCCATCCAATCTTCATCTGGAGTCTCATTTTCTGCCTTCCAGTATTGATTCAAGTACTACTCTAAATAATTAGTTTGTTTTCAAAAAGGTATTTTAGTAGAAGTCTCTTCAATATGACAATGTTTTTCCATCTTATAAAGTAGAAAAGTCATACTTGGAGTGAAGTTCTATAAAGGGAACTCCATGCCTTGTTCCTTTTTGTATCTTTGTTCCATATACACTAATGTAGGACAGGAAGACATTCCATGTATTTGACTAACTGAACTTGAATTAAATTTAAGGTCCTAAGAATGGGTCTGGGAAAAATCTGTTATAACTCTTTTGTTAAAAATTAACAATGCTAAATACAAGAAGGTCTCAGAAGGGATCCAGGGTCACCTTCTCAATACCCCAAGGCATCAGTTGAAGGGAAAGAGTAATGACCTACTTAGTATATGCTTAGTAACAACAAAGTGGAGCCAGAAGGAAAGTGTGTATCTGCGCCCTCAATACAACACCTGTGCTCCCATTTTCAAACCGGAAGCTCCAGTTCTCCCTCTTTTTTTGTTCAGTTATGTAGTGAAGCCTGTCAGTACTGTGAATCTCAGAATTTAGATAAGAGTTATTTTTAGGATCCATAAAAACCCTCTATTCACAAAGAAATACTACCTGAATGCTCTTGAACCAAAAGTTATGGGCTTCTTTTTCTGGAATCTCTTAGAGGCAGCTGAGCAGACTGGCTGAGAACTTCTGTACCAGTTATGATGTCTCT